TATTTCAATATTGTATCTTATTTGAAAATGATCTAGATATTCAATGAATATCCATCATTTAACTTAACTTAGTATAAGCTTTAAGGTTTCAAAATATCAAGAAGGCTTTGAAATTATTTTTAAGTGGATATAGTATAGAACATAATCATTATTGAAAAATTCATATATAAACTTTTATCCCACTTATATCTTTTAAATTCACTTGTTCTTAACAATTATGTCTCGATTACTCAGGAGAATTTCATGAGACATTAAACAAAAGCTAGACATCATCTTAAATTATTTGTCTTGTTCACAAATCAGGCAAGAATCAAAAATATCACAAAAGCAAAGAGTGTAAGAAACTGAAAATATGCTTCTTTTTCTCTTTTTTACTACTGTGCTTGACATGCATTAAGCAATTCATTTTAGTTGTACATTTTGTTTGTAGGTTGGATTTATAGTTTTATAATCTTAAACATCTAGTAGAGATAATAAAAGCTTGCTTGAGTAGTAAGGCTAGGTAGAAAATATTGTATGTCTGCATTATATCTGATGTTAGCAACTCTGAAGAAATGTCCATTTTTATTTTACCAAGAATTTAAAAACTCACTATTTATCAAAGATGATCTCAGAACACATGAATTAAAAAAACATTTGGGTTGTTTTCTATATTTCTGAGAGTTTTAGGAATACTTCAATTTATACGAGCACTCATTTATCTCTAAGCCAATTTAAACAGGACTCCTTTAAGGGATTTTATAAATTAATTTCGTAATACCATCTAGAAGTAGAAAAATATCACTTATATAACATAGACACACATACACACACATAAACATTCAGGCAGACACATGCAGAGACCTTAAAGCTTTTGTTTTAAATTTTTAACTATGTGTCAGATATATTAATACAAAACTCACTAGTTCATAAAAGAACAGTTGGATCCAAATTGTGTTTCTGGCAGATGGAATAAGTTAAGGTTGCTCACTAAGATGGCTAAAACATTTCATTAATATCTGTGGAGAAGACCTTCAAGATTTTTCATTTACTCAGTTTCCAAGTAGCTCCTTTTTTTTTTTTAAACCAAAGACAACTATCAAGTGACTTGAAACTGAAACCAATAAGCCTTTTATGACTAACCCGTGGATGCAAGAGCCATCCCCAAAGAGAGTGCAAAAGATGCAGCCTTCCCAAGATTGAAAGCTGCTGGAGATGGCCAAAAAGCAGAAGACTCAGACAAGCCTCCACCCCAGCGCAGGCCACAGCCAGTAGGACACTAGCCACAAAATGGGTGAAACCTACATTTCTGCCCCTCTATGTCTTGGGGATCCCCACCCCCCAATCTGACAATTGGCCACCTGCACACACAGAAGCCTCATGTCCTAATGGGGAAAGCCACATCAAGTTCTCAGGCACAGAATGAGAGAAAGCTGCCCCTGGGAAGGAAACCAGTAGATACCCCTAAATCAAATTTTACCCAGAGTCACAGTCCAAAGAACTAACTTTTTCAAAGGTTTCTCTCCTGCTAATCTGAATCTTGGAAGGAAAAGACTCTTGCCACTTTCACTTGACAGGTCCCCACAGGCAGAGAACTGAGAGACTGAGGTAAGAATTCTTATCTATGGCAGTTTCGTCAGAGATCCAATATTTCTTAATTGCAGTTTCCAGACCCAGCAAGGTGTTCCCAGCTAAAGGTGTTCCTGTTTGGGCACCAGAAATTACAGGGGAGGAAAAAGTTTTTCTTGATCCTCTTAGAGTCTGGAAATTAAGCTGACAGTGAAAAAGATTAACAAAAGACAAGCATACACATTTATTTAATAAACGTTTTACATGAACATAGCATATTTATTTATAATAGCTCAAAACAAGAAACAATCCACATATCTATTACTAGGTGACAGGATAAACAAGTTTGGTGTGTTGACACGGTCGAATAGTACTTAGCAACAAAAAGGAACAAATTATTGACGTGTGCATCAACGTGCACAGATCTCAAAACCATTATATTGAGTGAAGGAAACCTTACTTAAACGAGTATATCATATATGATTCTTTTATATGAAACGCTAGAAAAGGCAAATCTAATATATAACACTAGAAAGGAGATCAGTGAATGTCTGCGGCTGGTGTTGGGATGGGAATCAACTGGAAAGGATCAAAGCAAACATTCTGTGGTAGTGAAAACTTCTACATCTCAGTTGTGGTGTTGGTTACATAGGTATATACATTTGTCAAAACTTAAAGAACTGTACACTTAAAATGGGGTGAATTTCTTTGCATTTAAAGTATTCCTTAATAAAGTTAATCTTTAAAATGATGCAATTAGATAGCAGTATGTTTTTTCTTTCTTTTTTATCTTTTACACAAAAGTTAATATACTATAATATTTTCTGCCCATTTTTTCCCTAGCAATCATTCTTTTAGATCTTTCTATATTAGTATACAAAGATTTTTTTCCATTTTTTTTATTGTGGTAAAACACACATGACATGAAATGTACCATTTTAATATTTTTAAGTACACAATTCAGTGGTAGTAAATACATTCATAATGCTATGCAACCATCACCACCATCCATCTTCAGAACTCTTTACAACTTGTAAAACAGAAACTCTCTACCCATTAAATCACAACTCCAAGTTCCCTCTTCTCCAGCCCACTTTTTCTATGATTTTGACTATTCTAAGTACCTCATAAACGTGGAATCATACAGCTTTTGTGTTTTTGTGACTAGCTTATTTTACTTAGCATCATGTCCTCAGAGGTCATCCATGTTGTAGCATATGTCAGAATTTCCTTCCTTTTTAAGTATTCCTTCCTTACTAAGTATTTTTAGGAGTATTCCATTGGCTCTATATACCGCATCTTGCTTATGCATTCATTTGTCTGTGGATACTTGGGTTGCTTCCACATTTTAACTATTGTGCATAATGCTGCTATGAACAGAGATGTACAGATACCTGCTTTGGATCCTGCTTTCATTTCTTTTGGGTATACACTCAGAAGTGGAATTGCTGAATCATTTGGTAATTCTGTGTTTAACTTTGTGGGGAACCACCATACTGTTTTCCACAGCAGGGGTACCATTGAACATTCCCACCAACAGTGCACAAGGGTTCCAGCTTCTCCACTCCCTTGCCAATACTTGCTGTATTCTGTTTTTAAAAGAATTTCTTTACTGTATAGTAGCCATCCTTATGTGAGGTGTGTGGTGAGGTAGTATCACTGTAGTTTTGATGTGCATTTCTCTAATGATTAGTGATGTTGAGCAGCTTTTCATGTACTCTTTGGTCATTTATTTATCTTCTTTGGAGAAATGTCTATTCAAGACCTTTGTCCATTTTTGAATAGGTTTGTTTGTTTTTTGTTCGTTTGTTTGAGTTTTAGGAGTTCTCTGTATGTTCTAGATATTAACCCCTTATCATGTATATGATATGCAAATATTTTCTCCCATTCTGTGGCTTGCCTTTTTACTCTGTTGATAGTGTCTTTTGATCCACAAACTTTAAAAATTGTCAGGAAGTCCAATTTATACATTTTTTCTTTTATGACTTGTGTGTGCCTTTTGTGTGACATCCAAGAAATCATTGCAAAGTCCAACATCGTGAAGCTTTTGTCTCATGTTTTCTTCTAAGAGTTTTATTTAGGTCTTACATTTAGATCATGGACCATTTTAAGTGAATATTTGTATATAGGGTTAGGTAAAGGTCTAATTTTGTTCTTTTGCACGTGGATATCCAGCTTTCCTGGCATCATTTGTTGAAAAGACTGTGCTTTCTCCATTGAATGGTCTTGGCACCCTTGTCAAAAATCATTGATTTTATATGCAAGTGTTTATTTCTTGACTCAGTTGAATCTAGTTTATTCAGGAATAGCATAGAAATTGCAATTCGGGACATGCAAACTATGGCAAACCATAGTAAGTCCAGAGAACAAAGGAGAGAAGCATTTTTTTTGTTTGTTTTTACAGAAAAAGTGGATTGTTTTGAACAGAAGTCCATTGATGGAAAGTTCAGGGAGTGCTGGCTTCTCTTTGGCTGAGTTGTTGCTGTGCAAAGGAGAAAATCTTCCTTTCTCCTGCTGCAGTAGTAAACTAAGCTTCCTCCTGCCCAGGAACATAAAGCAAGCAGTGACAGATGGTATGTGCATGTGTTCTACTGCTTTGAGCTATACCTTCCCCCTGGTAATTGTTTTTATATATTTATTTTGATTGTTGTAGGCTGTCTCTGTGTTGAGGGTCAGCCTGAGATATAAATGTAATGTCCTCTAGGGTCTTTTTTTGAGACTTTCCCTCAGCATGCCTGGTGGCTTTCTAATTTTCCCTGCATACGTAATTGTTTTTGATGTCTTAGTCTTTAATGTCTGGCTCCAGAAAAGAGAAGAAGAGAAAAATGAAGGGGTAGTGGTGGAAAGGGTGCTGGCTCTTTATATCTAGAAGGTACTTCAGCTGGTGGGGGAGAGACTTGCAACACCGGAGCTACAACAATGGCTTCCTGCCATCTTTGCACCTCTGTGATGAGAAGCAGCAATCAGTGATCAGAACACAGACCCCCAATATTTGGGGGATAAGGTCCTGTTTGCCCATCACAGTTTGAGGGTGGGTGGCTGCTGCTATGCTAAGCCCTGAAGTTGACCTCAATTAACCACAAGTGTTTCCTTGGAGTTGAACGTCTTCTATAGACTCCAGAGCTCCAAAATAATTACATCAGACAGATTCCGCCAGTACAACTGTTGTCTAGGTGGGAAGAAAGACTCCTGGTTTTTCCTCCTCTACCACCTTCCCAGAATCTTTTGGAGTTTTGTACCAACTCTGTGAGGTAGGAAATATTTCACAGATGATGAAATTGAGCCTCAGAGCTCTTAACTACCCAAGCTGGTATTACATAGCTCATACTTGGTAGAGCTGGGATTAGGAGGCCATTTATTCTGGTTCCACTGTATGTGTGCTTGACTCTTACTCTAAGCTGTGTCTTAAGGTGCAGGGAGCTCTGAAGAGGCTCCTTTCTTTTTTCTACCAGGTGCAGCCCAAGGTCCTCCTTCCTTATCAGATCTCTCAGCCCAAGGTGGAGAAGGATGAGCAATTCAAAATTACTTTCTCTCCTGTGGCTCTCAAGGAAGCGTGTGGGGCAGTGCAAGGAGATCTGTGAAACATTAAAAATAGTGAAAATAAGAGTTTTAAAATACTGAAAATAAATTTCCCCAAGAGGCTAGAAAGCCTGTAATAGCAAATTGTTTCCTGTGCTTAAAAAAAAAAGCATTAAATGTGCTTAGAGCAGGGACTAAGGGAAACACATGCAACCAATGCAATGCATATATTCTTTATCTCTATTTCCTTAGGCATATCTGTCTCCCTATATATTACCACTATTTACTATTTATTACCTGCTTACTGTGTGCTGAGCACTGTTAGCCACCTAACACTCATTCCTTTATTGTCCTCTTACAAGGAAGACGCAAGCTGCATTTGCTTCCGGAATGGAAGGCAGCTGAGGGGGGCAGCACCTAGGGGTTATAGAAACTGCTAATCTAGAGAGCGAGATAAGCTTGCTCCAAGCTTTCAAAGGAAGAACAAGCATTTACCGGCCCCCTTTCCTTCCCTTCCTCCCAGCCTTCTCCTTAGCCTTGAGAAGGCAGAGATTTTCCCTTTGTCTTAAGACAGAAAGGCACACCTTAGGTTTTGTATTCCCAGAGCGAATACTACAATTTACACTGCTGGATTCCAAGTAGAAACCAACTTTTGTTCAATCCAGAGAACAGGGGGAGAAAAAAGTTTATTGGGAATCTCCTTTTGTACTGTTTTGCTCAACATCCACCACCCCAGTTTTTTTCTCCTCACAATTTTCTGTAAATTTGCTTTCAGGGAATGACTCACCAAAACCAGAGGAATGGATACAAGCAAGGTGAAACACACTTTTCTGGGTGAGAGAATCAGCTTAAATGGATCCTGAAAGAATTGTTTCAGGAATTAACGTAAGTTCATAAAGAGACATCATTTTATTTTTAAAGGAACAATATTGATAAAGATCCTTGATTTCCCCAGCAATGTGACTTTATCACGCAGCAACTGAGCCACTTGAAGGGTATAGAAATACAGATTTCCACCCTGATCTACCCTCTGCAGACTGGGAGATACAGCAGCTGCCTTTACTTTTCCAGGTTTCTGCGATGTCTTGGTGACTAGAACGCAGTAATGGTGTTGGGACAACTGATACCACTGCTGTCACCCTCATCCTTCAGCATAAATTCATCTGTGGTCTCTCTTCTTAATATCTAAGTTGTAAATAAAGTGGGTGAAGCATGCATCAAAGAAGAGTGTGTTTTTCCTCAGAGAATTTTGTTTCCAGTCACTCCCTATCACAGTCACATCTTTATGAAACAGAGGTGAAATAGATTTGCATAATTTCATTTCATTGAAATTCTAAATATTTAGTTTTGGAGCTGGGAGGAATTTTGAAAAGAGAACTAGCATTCTTCCCCAGGAGGGCAAAGGAATTGTGGTCGCTACTTCTGTATTGATCAGTGGCCTCTATTATAGTAAGGTGATTATGCCTTAGTAGCTTCCGACCTCATCTACTGCTATGACTGGCTATTTAAGATTATAGGTTCTAGAAGCCTTAAAATGTTTTCTTTTACCTGTATGCCTTGTGTAAATCCACTGCCAAAAAACTTTAGGACAAAAGTTGCCTCCTCAAAGCCTAGACTTTTTGTGATTTTAAGCTTTGTAAGGTTCTCTTAACAAGTGATTTTTGGTGTAGACTGCTTCTACTAAATGCATGGAATGTTCAACCATGTATTTGAGTTAAAAATTAATGTAACCTAGAGTCTCATAGCTCCCAGGTGGTTTAGGATGTAGTAGAGCATAGCAGATGTACATAAGCTTTGGAGGCAAGTAGGTCTGGCTTCAAATCCCACGTACGCACTTGCGAAACACTGTGGATATGCTGCTTAACCCGAGTTCAACTTCCCTAGATAGAACACAACCTGCTTTATAAAGCGGCTGTGAGGGTTAAAATCACACGTAACACACACTGATTGCTTCAAGAGGTGGTAGCTGTGAATATGTCATTTGTTAGAAGGAGAGCTCCATAACCTTTTGTGCATGAAATACAAAGAAAACAAGTAACACTGGTAACAACACATTTATTTACGTACCCTGTTGTGTGACCGGGAGGTGTTTTTCACTTTCCAGTAATTGAATTAGGTTATAACAATTAAAATTCCAGAAGGTAGACTAGTAATTTATTGTTGCTCATGACCATAAGTAAACAGACATGGTACCACATAACGGAATTTTAAACACGTCTAAACTTTTGGCATAGCTTTGAGTATGGACCAGTATACTTTGGCAATGGACCTAATAGATTACCAGTGTGCTTCTAAATCCCATGGTTCTCTTCAGACACAACAGGAAAAATTCAATTTAATGCTTGAATTTCAGGAACTTAACAAAGATACTTAGGAAGCTGAAAAAGGCCATTACTTAAGCCTATCATATTTATCACAAATATAAATGTATTGCTATTAAATAATAAAATCATGGCAGGCAGCAGTCAACTAATTTTGTAGACTAGTATTTCTTGAAAATAACTCACCTCAGATGATGGGCTATTGAAGTTTGTTATTTTAAAGTAGTTTTTAACTTAACCTTTTGAGGACTAGTGAAAGGAATTCAGATCCCAAGTCAAACAACTGAATGGCATTTCAAATTGGATTTTACATTAGAAATAGCCATTTCCAAGAGACCGCATCATACATGGTATTTCCTTTCAGAATGCCTTTATTCCAGGCTTCGAATCTTACTTACAGCATGATTATGTTTAGAGGGCTTGAGAAATGTTAACAAACGGGTACTCATTGCTAGAGCAGACATAAGAATGTGCTGATCATCAAGTATCAGATTTCACATTGCATTAAAATTATATACTGTGGGAAATAGACAAGATAGGGAGTTCCTAGATCCTGGAAAATAGTATGGCTAAGGAAATAGAGAACTCAAAAAAGGAATCCACCTCCAAGAAACTAATTCAGTATAGTAAAATAGAATTAAGTGCCCTGTCTTAGGAAAAAGTTTATTAATAATAAGGAACAACTGGGACATCATACATCGTTTCTTTGGAGATTAAAGTGCAGGCTATGAAATGGCATATAAAATAATGCATAAAATAGTGCAATCTTAAGGTGCCATTATTTTTATTACACATAGCCTATGTTCACATGTCCATTTTCTCTCAAAAATCCAACTGTAGTGACACCTTTTAGCTTATTTATTTAGGCATTATTTATACTCTGTTTTACCCACTTCAGGGGCTACATAGAATATTTTAACATTTTAACAAGTAGAATAATAGCGCATACATCTTGAAACTACTAAATAGAGATTAAGGCAATCCCCTGTAAAGTTCAGTACTCCAAAAAACGTTTTACAAAAACAAGTTGCTTCCCAAACAAGTGGCTTTATACCTGATGGCACCCCAAGTTTTTAAAACAGTATGATTACTCTGATTACATTTGTCCATTTCCAGGCTCTGTACATCAAAAGAGGAGCTTGAAAAGCAACAGGTTCTATATCCTCACGTTCTAAAATAATTCATATTTCAGAATATGTGGAAACCAAGCCAAGTCTATGTGAGAGATAAGCAGAGGACCCTGCGGTGGGTGAGGGGAGGCAGTCCTCTTCCTTTCTTACATATGCCCTTCCACACTGTATCTGTCTGTAGGGCTGTACCATAACCAATTTGTAAATGGGAATGACTCGTTAAACTAGAGACGTCTTCTCTGAAGGACACCCAAGGAAGATGACAGGAAAACTTCCTATAATCAAGGACAGGATGGTTCTCCTGGGAGGCTAATTTACAATTTTTCTGTAACAAACATCAGTTTTAGCCGATGAAGTACTTTGTGATTTGTTGAAATTAAAATCCCATTATACTATCCAGAAGCAAGTACAACGGCTATCAAATTGGCCAAGGCGATATCCTAACACGTTTTAGCTAGTCTAGGTGAGATTGCAGATAGAACAAACTGAACGGTAGTGCTTTATCTCCTCCTGCTATACCGCGTTCATGCACCAAGTGCAACTCATTAACATGGGCGGGTGATTACAAGTGTATACTGCAGAAGTTTGGATTTGAAACAGAAAATCTGCCTTCTCATAGCGTGAATGCTTATTATGGAAGCCAAATACTCACGTTAACTAATGGAAGACTATAGGTACATTTAGGGTATCTAGATGTAGTTTAAAAAGAAACCCAGGAAACTTTAAATAATTTATTAACAACTATTAAAAAATCATCTGAGGTCATATCCCTTTGATGCATAAGGATCATCCTTTGTAAACCTGTAAACGTGTACTTTGTTACTTTAAAAAGTCTTCCCATTACCAGGAAAGTAGACTATGAAAGGCCATGAGTATTCCAGTAGGCCTCCTCCAAAGTTGTGACAGTATGGCTAAATCCTATGATTAAACAAATGAGACCTGCTGAGAAAATGAGTTCCAGACGGGGACTTTTATGGATGACCTTGGCTGACAAATGTTTTTTTTGGAAATTGTTTATTTTAAAATTACCTTCCCAACAAGCCATGAAACACTTGGATGTTATTTTATGGTTTTTCATTGAAAACATACTACATTGTAAATGGAGTTTCAAAGTTAGACAAAGAATTGATCAAAATCTAAGGACAATATTATGTAAGGACAATATTAAAAATGGATAAAAAGTTTCACTTGGTGAGGTTAATCTACAGGATGCATAACCATGTCATGTTGGACGGATAAAGACAGGTGGTGACCTTGTGCTTTGATTCAACTAAGGTACTTACCAACACCTTAGGTTTTATACAGGTATCAAACTCCCACCTGGAAAGGGATAGTACTCTACATTACACCTAAGTTTATCTTAAATAACTGAAGCCCAAGGCAACAGCTGCTTAAAAGAACTTAATAGTCAAATAATAAACTACATAATTTAGTACATTAAAATAAAACTGGGACAGTAATAAGTGAATGTTTCAAAAATGTACAACTGGGGAAAATAACCACTGTACACAATCTGGAGGTTGTTAAAGTGACCATTTAGGAGGCTGAACAGTGCAAGACATGCTTTTCCAGTTACAAGCTCAAAACAGGAGTGCAAACAAAATTAAAGCTTTTGTTTAAAGTTTTAGGATTAGGAAAGCTTGAAATGAATATTAAAAAGCTTCCCCTCAGGTCATTCCCCAGAAATGAAACGCTCAAAATGCTTTTCCATAATATAATTTTCTTCAATGAACTTTCTTTCATGGCAAAACTACATCCCACAAGCTGGGTTCCCTATTCACAACACCGGTCATGACCACACTTGATCAAGGAGACACGCAGTGGTGAGTAAGGAACAGTACTAGTTACCAGAGGTCTGCCATCAAGAGAAAGAACTTGGGGTTCTGCCTTAGCCAGTGTACCTGAACCCTACAGAGAACAGACAAAGCAGTGGGCTTTAATATTCTCTTATTCCTGTAAAACTGGAGGACAAATGGACTAGCAAATACCGCCCCCTCCCCCAGAGGCAAGCTGTTGTGGTGGAAGATGTCAAGCGCTTCAGTAAACTAAGATGCCGCTCTAAAAAGTGGAGAAGTACAGAGGTTCAAGGTCAATACCAGTGCAAGAGCTTTTTAAGTGAGTTGACTAGGCAATGCATGCATCCATCCATGCAAACGTAGGACATGGCCCCCAAAGAGAACTGAAAACATGTATATACCAACTGGATAAGTCCCTTGCCAGTAGTTTATAAAAATATATAGTCAATACTGTAGAGGCCCCTCCTACAGTCAATACTATGGAAGTTCATTTTAGTTACCCATTACTTCAATACCAAAAAGCATTTACTACTTTTCAGACATTCTAGACAAAGGTCACTTATAACAAAAAGTCAACTTTTTTTTTTAAAAACAAGATACTGTCCATTTAAAAAGTAGATCTTTTCTTTCAAGTGAACAGGACATTTTCTGTATTAAACTGAACTTGTCTGTCAAGACTGGTTTGTTTAAGATTCTTACATAATGTGCATATATGCAGAAACAAATAAACTTAAACATTATCTGCACGGAAAAAAGTTAACTTCTCAAAACATGATAGAACAGGTCTGGTTAGTACAAATCTATTGCAAAGTAAAAAGATTCTGTGCGTCAGTTCAACCAGGAGAAGCGGGAAAAGAATGTCCCAACCACGAGAGTTCAAGTTTCAGCTGTGTTCTGAAAGCCTAGACACCTAGGGGACACCATGTTGCTCACAGGATCCTGATATGCGGAACTGCTCAAGCGACTAAGCCACGTCTTCCTCTGGAGCTAGAAGCACATTCCAATTTACTTTCTGTTCCGGAGACGCTTAGATTTCCTAAGAGAGTCTATGGCTTCTGTGGCCTTTTTGCGTTTCCGAGGAGACTCTTCACTCTGCCCAGACCCTGAGGCGTTTCCTACTGCACTTTCCATCACTTCCCGGAGTTTGCGTTCCAGCTCTGCCAACCGTGCGTTCTGTTCACCTATGATCTGGGTCTGCTCTAGCAGTTTCTGGTCCTGGTCTTGAAGCTGTTTCTGCTGTTCCTGCACTTTGGTGCGAAGCTCAGAAATTTCACGCCTGAGAACAGTCACACCAGCACCATTTGTCTTAACCTGCTGCTGGAGTTTGGTAACCTCTTGTCTTGAAGGGTTTTGCTTGGAGAAGAGCTGCATTGTTGTCAGCGCTGCAGAAGGTCCTGGAACTGTGGAGAAATAGTTGAAAGTGGTCAACTAATCACTTAAACTGTCTCACAACCAGTAATATGTCATTAATTAAACTTATTCAAAAACAGTATCCTTAACAAGATCACTTCTGATAATTTCTTCTTGGCAATCTATTTGGTTCAACAGATAAATCAGACACCTTGTATTAATTCTAAATGACTTTGAATTCTGATTCTCATGTTCATGTGGCAATACACGGACTACCAGCAAATGGAGAAGGGCATTCAATGGCATAAACTTGGATTTAAAATATAAAACATTTTTAAGACTCAGTAAGAAAATGCAAGTAGTAAACTAAGAGTAGAATTATTTTCCATCATATTTCACACAAGCACACATAAACATTCAAGTTACCTATCATATTCTTAAGTCCTCTCTGCACTTAGTTATAGGCAAAGGTTTTAACATTAGCCAAACAATAGGGACACCATCAAATAATAATGGGCTACATCACACATGATGATCATGAAGAATTTCTGACTTGGTGTAAAGAAGCTTTGGAACTATTCTGTTTCAGGAATAACAGAATGTAACGCAGGCATAAAAATCACTATTTTAAACTAATAACCTACTTTAAAAAAAGTATCTCCTGAAGATTTTCTTAAAGGACCAGGTGGATCCATGCCTACCCTAAATCCATGTGGCTAATATTCTCCTTGTATATGAAAATAACCAGACTATTTTCCTTGATTAATGCATTCTTTCTTCTCTTTCTGCTTATCTTGAGCCAATTAACAAGGCATAGATCAATTCTTACATCTTGTGAAGTCTCAATCAGACCAATAATGATCTTATTTTCCTCAACACTGTTTCTACTACTCGTTTGGCAATTAAATGGACACTTCTTTAAACTATTTCTCTTGCCTACAATAATTTGAGTCTGGATGTCTTACCTTATGAAACAGTAAGATTCTTGGGAGCAGACACCATGTATTACACTTCTTTTTAGTCTCCATAGGACACAGTACAGTGCTGTGCACATAATAGATACTCAATAAATAATAGATATATTAACACTGAGATGTGTAGGCTTTATTGCTACATTACAGAGAGCCATTCAGTTACCCCGCTGAGTACTCCAGGGAGCTAATTGATCTGAACAAACAAAATGTTTTACTAAAATTTGTTCCCTGATTTAAAATATTTGCAGGGGTTGAAATTACTGAACAGTTCAGTCTTTCAGTAGATAAGGGCACAAGTCTCTAGGATCTGACAGTGTTCAAAATAGCCTTATGCACCCTGTCTTTTAAAGTAGCAGCTAGATACTCCAGGGGCTGAAATAATTGGTTATTTCTATGAAGAATTTTTTGGGTTTTGTCTGGTATATTTGATTCTATTTTAGGACAATGAATACTAACTAGTCAGAAACATCAAAAAACATACACACATATATCCAGCAATTCTACTCTAATAAATTTATTCTAAGTTAATAGTTGTGGATAGGGACAGGGATTTAGCCATGAGATTGTTCTTCAGAGTATAGTTTAAATACTGAAAATCTGGAGACAAATGTGCTTAATAACAGGGGATCAGTTACATAAGTTATGTCTGTAAGCCAACCTGTCATTAAAAATGAGATACAGTTACAGAGTCAGAAAAGTTCAAGACAAACAGTTAAGTGGGGAAAAAGAGCAAGTTATAAAGCTACATAAACATTATTATAAACTGAACATATTATAAACAAGAGATACCTGGAGGAGAGCCCATGAGTCTTCCAGATACATCTGATCCTGGTAATTTCCTCTTTAGAATTGGAACAATCTTTTCATCAAAGTATTCCATTGCCATGGAGGAAATATCCCTTAATTCTTGAAGTACTTCATGAGCTCGCTGAGGGGCTCTGGTAGAATTGACATATCTCAACACACGATAAATCTCATCAATCACCTAAAATAATGAGCTCTCATTAGCACTTCAGTTTAAAAAAAAAAAGAAAATAGGACTGCTTGTTTTGCAAGTCCTATAAACACCTACGGGATGACTTAACTGATATACTGACAACTGATAACATTATCTGTGACACATGGTTTTGGGCTTGTTCTAATACTTTAAACATTTCATCTTTATATTTATTAAGCATCTTTTCTGTACTATACTTACTGGGGCAAATGATTCAGAATGATTAAAATACAGATCCTGCCCTGAAGGAAATCACAGTATAACTGGGGAGAGACATGTGTAAAGAAGTAAAGAAGGATACACAAATTGCTAAAGAAACCTGAACACTAAACTAAGGAATTAAATCTTGAAAGCAAGCAGGGGTAGGGGTGGGGGAACTACCCAAACTCATATTCTATTAATCCTCCAAACCCACTTCACTGTTTTCCGAAGCCCCAGGGACTCACCCTGATTTCCTTCTGTCCTTCACACTGCCACTACGTGCTCTATCCTTGAAGTTCTGTTTCTCTAAGACCTGCTGTGGATTGGAATGAGGTCTCCTCAGATCCCACTTTCTTGCTATCACTAAAGGGTAGCAAAAGATCCTTTTTCTTTTTAATAATAATGGCAATGGGGAAACACAAGGCATATACACATGGAGAAGAACTAAGCTCTAACAATCCTGATTCCTAATTCTCTTGCTGGAATGGTAACTGAACCTTCCTTAGGCATCCTGCCCTCAGCTTTAATCCCTGCGAAGTTATTAATACCTCCCATGGCTTCCACGTAGACCTGAAGATAATAACTCACACCTCTAAAGGTCTCCAGGCTGGATGACATCTATTCCAATGGGACTTCACCTAACAAGAACTGTGGGTTAATCAGCCAAACCATTCTGTCACCAAAATATCTCAAACCCACCTTGAATCCCACTCACTGTCACTACTGCATTTATCTGGCCAGCACCCAACTCTGGAACAATCTTATAATCTGCCTTTTCTTCTCTTTTTTCAGGCTGCTGAGTATTGCTAGAGAAACCCATAATCTTGCAGAACAGTACCAGGACAAATCACAGTCCTCAACACTTTCTAGACTCTCAGGGCAATGAGATAATCCTTGTCAGTCTACCATCATGTGTGCCTAATAAATGTTGGCAAAACTGAACTGTTAGGGTGTGTTCTTATCGTGAATCTGAGATTTCACAGGAGAGGCACGTTAGTGGGCCTGGCGAGATGACCAGGAATCGGCTTGGGCTGAGGTGGTATACGTGTAGGCAAATGTAATAGGAGATGAGATATGCTGGTTTTGAATTACACGGGACATGCAGATGATACTAGCCAGGCAGGAATATCTGGAGATGCATATTAGGAGTTCAGAAGAGAAACTGCAAATGATAGTGAGGCCAGAAGATACAGAATAAGATAGTCAAAGGCAGAATTCTGAGGTACTAGTGGCTAAATGATACATTTATTTCTGGCATTGCTACTAGATTATGAACTCATTTTAGAAGAAAATAACATTTTTTTTGATAGTAACTTACTGAACTACCATATTAGGAATTATCACATATATTAAAAAAAAGAAAAAAGAGTACTTTCTCTTGGGCTTACAGTTTAATTATACTAACATATGCTAACTTGTAAGATAAACATTCATTATTCAAGCATTTACTGAATTCTCACTATGTATGCATCACTTTTCAAAGCACTGGAGTAAAAACAGTGAACGTGGCTGACAAAATCTTCTCATGAAGCTAAAGTAAACGAACAATAATTTAAAATAGTGCCATGGGGAAAAAAGAGGAAAATGTGATAGTTACTGTTGGGGGAAGAGGTAATAACATTAGACTAGGTAGTCAGGAAAGGCTTCTTTGACGTATTTAAGGTAAAACTGAATGATTAAGAGGAATGAATCACTTGAAGATCTGTGGAGAAAAGCATTTAGGCAGCAGTAATAATGGCAATGGCTTCAAGGTCAGAGCCAGCCTGGCTTGCTTAAGGAGTACAAGGGTTAGAAATATGCAACCTGCATCTGTATCTCCAAATAGTAAAAATGTATGGAAGTTAGCATACGCTCAAAGCTTTGAAAAATATGGCCTAATTATTTATATATAATTAAGAAATGGTTAATAAAAAAATAAGGTAAAGTAGTAATACAGTATTTTTTAAAGGTCCTTCATATTGACTGAGGTTCTATGTACTAGTGCGAGGATATTAAGTGATCTACAGTAGTTTTGTGTTTATCAAAGTTTTTATATGTGTGTTATAAGAAAGAAAAAGTCTCAGTAACATTTCACTTTCCCAGAGAAAGCAGTCTTTTCTGAATCCTCTTTCAGTTTAAATCATGTTAACATCTTCATCAAATCCTTTGTTTTCCCCTCAGAATACACATTACAAGTTGTAAATACATCTTTCTGTTCATTTCTGCATTCACATAATATAGTAAGCTCAATGAGCTAAGAGACCATTTCTAGTTTCACTGTCAGATTCCCACAGCCTAGCAGTGCCTGGCACACAGCAAATACTCAATGAATATTTGTTACATGAATGATAAAGATAGTCAAACATCATAAACTGGTCAATATTGACATACTAAATAAAACTGTTCAGGGACAAGCCACAGGGTTACACTCAATACAAAAATAGGATTTTAGAGGCCAGATTTTGTTTTGAACATAAATGTCATGGTTAACAGAATTTATATTGAGAGGGATTTTAAAAAGATAACAATACTTGAAAGAGTATCCACAGCTTTATTAATAGATCTATCCATATTATGTTTATGTACATAAACACTAGTAGACAGAAGAATATTTACAGTATGTCTGAGCTAGACTAGAAATGACTGTTACAATGATTCCAGCGTGAATAAGACATACATGTTACCCAATGCAAGATGACTTAGTGAAAGACTCATAAGCAGCAAAGGGTAGCTCAAACTGTAATAAGTTCAATGTACAAGCAAAGTGCTGTGTAAAAAAGAAAGTAGAGAGACATAAGATCTGTCTGAAAGAACTGAGTATGCCTAATGAAGGACTTGGCAGTGAGAAGTAAGAATTTCAATGGGTAAGGGGAGTTAGAACAGAGTGGAGCTGAGTAGATGGATGATGTGGATGGACAGGTGACAGCATAGAAAATCAACATGTATACAGACCTATCATGTACCACGCATTTATTCTAGGTTTTAAAAAAATTTATCGTGCAGTTAATCCTCTTCCATAATTCTTATCTTCAGAATTAATTTCATATAAAAATATCCCATGGGGATTACTGATACTAAATTATATCTGTAAACCAATTTGTCAAATATTCTTCTGTTTACTATATTTAGCCTTCTAAATATAGTGTGAAACCAAGGTATCTCTATTTGCTCAAGTCTTCCATCAAAAAACTTAATGTTTTCAAATCTTACTACATAGAGACTATTTTAGTCAAGAATCATTATCTATGTTTTCAAGAAAATTAAAAATATTTTCTTTCCTCTGTCCAAAAGTTACAAGCGAAGGACAAGGTAAAAAAAAGGACACTGCATGTTAGAACCAAATGGCTTCTAGCATTCAGTCATCAGTGGCTGCAGTGGCTTTAGAGACACATATTAAGAAAGCATAGTATTTACCAATTTTTAAAATATTTCATTTTCTGAGTAGGTTTAATTACATTCTGAAAATTACTTTAGCAACAGGAATGTAATGGCATGAGTCTTGTGTCCAGTGTAAAGATCACAGGTCTTAGGCAAGGTCACCTGAACTCTTTAATTGCTGATTTCTACCCCTTTCAAATAACATGCCGCATACAGAATCCTACCCAGGCTTGAGATATAATAGTTACGAAAAATATTTTTAAGTTTTAAAAAAGTACGGTAAGAAACCAAATGGATGCTGAACACAGAAATTGATACAATATTGTAAACTGACTATACCTCAAGAAAAAAGAATGCAAATTAAAAAAAAAACAAATGGAAGTAACTATCATATTTCTAACACATGCAATTTACTGTCATGCTTATGTTTAAAGTGGCACAGTAATAAATGACATACTATCAGTATCATTTAACTGTTTTGATTCTTGTGGACGAGTGATAATTTCTTTGTTTAATCTAATGTTCAGCAAAGTTCCTATTAAAATATTGAATCTCCTATGTTCTCATTTTCTATTTTTGTCTTTTTGTTCCACTTGAGATATCCTTATTTTTCCTTTCCATCCCTTTTAATTTAAATTTTTTTCTTCCATATTTAAAAAACTGAAGTGCATTTAAGATTTTCTGAGTATTTCTTTATACAGCATGGTTTGACTGTATCTTTTATTCTCCATACTCCATTTCTACCACCTTAGTTGGTACTAGAATTTAAAGTGAAAAGTCAACAAGTGGTTTCCAAAAAAGAGCAGGATTCAACTGGATTTAATCTCATTTGTCTAGACAGTAAATATCGTCATTCCAACCACATGATCCTGATGAACTAGAACAAAAAGATGGGCAACTTCTGCAAAGGGCAGAAATGAAAACATCTTTGCAGGCCACACAGACTTTGCTGCAAGCTACTCAACTCTTGTTAGTAACAACTGACTAAACTGTCTCTGAGGTTATGAAACATTGAGGGGGAGGGTATAGCTCAAGTGGTAGAGCACATGCTTAGCATACAGAAGGCTCTGGGTTCAATCCCCAGTACCCCCTCTAAAAATACATAAACCTAATTACCTCCCCTAACCAGCCAAATTAAAATAATTAAATAATATAATAATAAATAAATAAAATATAATTAAAAAAAGAGTGTGTGTGTATAGCTCAGTGGTAGAGCATGTGCTTATTTAGCATGCACAAGATCCTGGGTTCAACCCCCAGTACCTCCATTAGGAAATAAATAAATAAACCTAATTACCTCTCCCCACCACCACCCCTAAAAAAACAAAAAAAAGAAATGAAACTTGGAGATGTTTCTTAAATATTCATAATCTTAACATTATAAGATATACAATAAAAACTATGAGACTATAGGAGACAACCTATTCTAGTTCAGTGAACATCCCAGGAACACTTGAGAGTTAAGGCTACTAATACAACATTGTAAATCAACTATATATAATTCAATTAAAAAAAAAAGAGTTAAGGGCTATGAATCAGACCTGGATAAAATCTGGCATTGAGAATCAGAATCTAAAGTTTCTAACTGGTCACCCTTTTATAGCCCCCTACAAAAGCAACAGTAGCTAATATGAGGAACGTGAGCTATATCAAAGAATATTTCAAATAAAATAAAAAACAGAACTCCCCCGACTCCCAATAAACATCATAGATTGAAAATGGAAAAAGTACACATAAAATGTTGTTCATGTTAATTATCTATGGAAATAACAGAAAGAGGACATTCAGATTTTACTAGGTATTACTTAGTTCCAACCATGTTAAGCGAGCCTTTTATCAGTATCAATGAAGTAGCAAAATGACCTTTAATTCCACCTCCATCCCTTCCACATAAAAAGATACAGACACTACTTCATTCTGAATTTACACTCAATTCAAGAAGCAAGATACTAGTGAAGGTATGAGTAGCATGTTGAATGTTGGGGTATTTATTAACTTAGTAACAATAAATACACCACAATATACTTATTTATGTGTTAAACAGCACTATTATTTAGCTCTGAGTATACTGCTACACAAAAATTATGTATTCTTGTCAAATCTGGAAGTTTGTAAATTGTCTCTATGAAAGATTTCTCAAAACAAAACCAACCTGTCTCTCCTACTCTGCCTCCCTAAGATTATAACAATCTTGAAGGCAGGGACAATACCTATCGTTTTCATTGCTGTCACTCTGGCATCTTAACAAAGAGTAAAATCTCAACATTTTTTTCTTGAGCATGAATTCTTAAAAAGCTTTTCTAAAGAATAGTAGAGCTTCTAAAGAATGTGTATTTTATAATTAGAATTTTAAATATAAAGAGCACATAAGTTCTACATATTTATTAAGTTACTACACAGAAGCTAAACAAATCCATTCATAGAAACTCACTCAAAGAGGCAGGAATAATTCTGTCATTTAAAAAAAATCACTTTGCAACTTTATAATAATTTAAAGTTTATACAGTGCAATCCAGCTGTTCCAGGTAAGCAATTCTATTTTACCTTTCCTGGGATGAAGCAACAAAGATTGGAATCCACATACTTCATGAAAGTCATATTTAACAGTGATAGCCTTGTTTCAACAGCAGCAAGGATGTCTGCATGACGAGCTAAAGAATGGTTTCTCCTTTCTGACTCTCTTCTACAAAAAAAAAAGGGGGGGGGGCAATCATTAAAAGAAGTATTGTAGACCAAAACGCTAAGCACTCAAAATGCCTTAATGTAAGCCTAACATTTACATGCTAATTTAGAAGTCTACAATTGGGTCATAATTTAATTAACTGTAACGAAAAATGAATCACTGTGTTCAGAAATTCTTACCAAGGACTAGCACCCATTGGTAAGATATTTGGAAAAAACGTTTTTCTTGTTTTGTTTTGTTGTTTTGTACTATATCAATCCTAATGGCTATTAGAATAAAAGAAATTAGATAAAAGAATTACACATGGACATAAAGGTAAGAAACCATATATTTTTGCCTTTAAAATCAGCTTATTTGAACTTTTAAAAAAGTTTTACTGAGAAATAATTAACATATAATAAAATTCATTTTTAAAGTGTACACTTTAATAGTTTTTAGTATAGTCACAGTTATGTACCCATTAGAACTATCTACTTTCAGAACATCTTCATTATCACAAGAAGAGAGCCTGTAACCATTATCAATCTCTTCCGTTACCTAGCCCCTAGTGACAACTAATTTAGTTTCTGTTTCTATGGATTTGCCTATTCCAGCCATTTCTGATAACTGGAGTCATACAGAGCATGTGGAGTTTTGTGTCTATCTTCTTTCACTTTGCACAGTTTTCAAGGTTCACCCATGTTGTAGCATGTATCACTAGTTCTTCACTACTTTTTACTGTTGAGTAATACTCTATTATTAGACATATCATAATTTTGATTATCAGTTCATCTGGTGATGGACTTCTGGGTTGTTTCCACATTTGACTATGATGAATAATGCTGCTATGAATATTTGTGTACAAGTTTTTGTGTAGACACAGCCTCATTTCTCCTGGATATATGCCTAGGAGTGAAATTGCTGGGTCGTTTGTAACCCTATGCCTAACTTTTTGAGAAACAAACCGTTTTCTCAAGTGGCTGCACCATTTTATAATCCCACCAGTCACAGATGAGGGATCCAATTTGTCCATATCCTTCCCAACACTTGTCTTTTTAAATTTTAGCCATCCATCCTGGTGGTTGTAAAGTGGTACCCCACAGTATTCTGATTCCTAATGCCCTGATGACTAATGATGCTGAGTATCTTTGATGTGCTTGTATATCTTCTCTGGAGAAATTTCTATCAAATCCTTGCCCACTTTCAAATTGGAATTATTTATCTTTTTATTGTTGAGTAGTAAGAGTTCTTCATACAATCTAGATACAAATCCCTTAACAGATACATGAACTACAAATGTTTTCTCCCATTCTGTGATTAGAATTTCCATTTTCTGGATGGTGTCCTTTGAGGCTCAGAAATTTTAAACTTTGATGAAGTCTGGCTTGTCTACTTTATTTTGTTACTTATGCTTTAGGTGTCTATCTAAAAAAGCATTGCTTAATGATATGACTGACAAAGGCTTAAATTCCAGAATATACAAACAGCTCATATAACTCAATTACAAAAAAAAATCCAATCAAAAAATGAACAGGATCTAAACAGACATCTCTCCAATGAAGATATACAGATGGCCAATAGGTATGTGAAAAAATGCTCAGTATTGCTAATTATCAGAGAAATGTAGATCAAAATCACAAAGAGAGATCACCTCATACCAGTCAGAATGGTCATCATTAAAGTCCACAAATGATAAATGCTGGAGACGCTGTAGAGAAAAGGAAATCCTCCTACACTGTTGGTGGGAATGTAATCTGGTGCAGCCACTATGGAAAACAGTATGGAGATATCTTAAAAAACTAAAAAATTGGCTTACCATATGATCCAGCAATCCCACTCCTGGGTATATATCCTAAGAAAACTCTAATTTAAAAAGATACATACACCTTAGTGTTCATGCAGCACTATTTACAATAGTCAAGACACGGAAGCAACCTAAATGTCCATCAACAGATGAATGGATAAGAAAGTTGTGACACACACACACAGGAATACTATTCAGCCATGAAAAGAATAAAATTTTGCCAGTAGCAGCAACATGGATGGACCTAGAGATTATTATACTAAGTGATGTAAGTCAGACAGAGAAAGGCAAGTATCATGTATCACTTATATGTGGAATCTAAAATGACAAAAATGAACTTACTTAGAAAACAAAAACAGACTCACAGCTATAGAAAACAAATTTATGGTTACCAAAGGGGAAAGGAGGGAGAGGGATAAACTAGGAGTTTGGGATCAGCAGATACAACCTACTATATACAAAACAGATAAACAACAAAGTCCTACTGTATAGCACAGAAAACTATATTCAATAGCTTATAATAACCTATAATGAAATAGAATATGAGAAAGAATATATGTATTAACTGAATGACTATGCTGTACATCAGAAACACAACATTGTAAATCAACTATACTGTAAGTAAAAAAAATACGAAAAAAATTGCCTAATCCAAGTTCATGAAGGTTTATGACTGTTTTCTTCTCAAGGTTTTATAGTACAGCACTGACATTTACACTTAAGTCTATGATTCATTTTAAGTTTATTTTTGTATATGGTTTGAGAAGGGTATCAAACTTCATTCTTTTATCCCAGCATCATTTGTTGAAAACACTTCTTTCCCCACCGAACTGTCTTGGCATTCTCGTGGAAAATCAACTGACTAAAAATGTATGGGTTTATTTTCTGGCCTCTTAATTCTATTCCATTGATCTATATGTCTATCCTCATACCAGTATCACAATGTTTTGATAACTGTAGCTTTGTAGTAAGTTTTGAAATTGGGAAGTGGTAGTCTTCCAATTTTGTTCTTCTTTTTCAAGGTTGTTTTGATTATTCTGAGTCTTTTGCATTTCCATAGGAATTACAGGATCAGTCTGTCAATTTCTGCAAAAAAAGACAGCTGAGATTTTGATAGGGGTTGCACTGAATGTGTATATCAATCTGAGGAGTACTGCCATCTTAATATGAAATCTTCCAACCCATGAACATAGAATACCTTTCCATTTATTTAAGTCTTCTTTAATATCTTTTAACAATGTCTTGTGGTTCTTAATGTACAAATTTCAGACTTCATTATATTTATTACTAAGTATTTTATTATTTCAATGTTACTGTGAATGGAATTTTTAAAAATTGGGGTTTATTTATTTATTTAATTTTAGAGGAAGTACTGGGAATTGAACCCAGGACCTCATGCATGCTGAGAATGTGCTCTACTACTTGAGCTATACCCTCCCCCTAGAGTTGTTTTAACTTCATTTTGAGATCATTTATCAATAGTGCAAAGAATTATACAATTGATTTTTGTATACTGATTTTTTAACTGGTATCCCTGCTGAACTTGTTTAATTAGTGCTAATAATTACTGTATCTTATACATAATATCACATATGTACAGGATCCTGTCATCTATGAATAGAGCTTTACTTCTTCCCTTTCAATCTAGATGCCTTTTATTTCATTTTCTTGCCTAAATGCCCTGACCTTAAACTAAAATGCTGAACAGATATGGTGAGAGTGAACAAACCATAGTAAAATCATTTACTGTGATCTGTGTACCCTTTGCTACAAAAACTTGGAAACCATTTAACACGTAAACCTTACTGAGATTAAAAAAAAAAACTCAAGAAATAAACAAAATAACCAATGATAAATTATGGCCATTGTTCACTATAACATACCTTGGGAGCTGTGCTTTCACTTGTTTCTGACATAGATTATGATACCTTTCCACTTTCAGAAATCCCTGATTCAACATTCTCTGGCAAACCAAGTCCATTCTTTTACAAACCTATGGGAAGAGAGGAGGAGAAAGAACAATTTAAAAAAGAAAAAACCAAACTGATAATAAAGAATTAATTTAGACTCATAACTGATGGCTGAAAGTTTTCTGTGCTAGTATTGTTCCCCAGTTTGCTATCTGAATCAATTTATGTGGGTAAATCCCTCATTATAACTTGCAATATTGCATTTAAAAATTAGTATTATGTGTAGGCAAGGAATACTTTATTCCTTTACTTAGGTATTTGTTGAATGTTCTGAATGTATCCCCATTATCATGGTCAGAGACCACAGTTCTGAAGATCAGCAAAACAACATCAGGTTTTTAATGGTTTGAAACAAGAAAATTCTCCTTTATCCAAATATACATATTAAAACTTGGGTCTAACCCCTCACGAAGTTTATATGATCTATAACAGAATTAGAGTTTTTCATTATTTCTTCTAGTGATTTGGATTAACTATGACAGTTTACAATGGCCAAGGCCTATATTAGATATCTTCATATCCTCCAAAATATCTTAACAGGTATAGTGAAATCTTAACTATTTTGAATCCTTTAAAAATATGGTATTTTTGTACAATAAAAGCACAGGATTAGAAGTCAGAACACCTAAATTTGAGTCTAACTTTTATACATCCTTGAGCAAGTCAGCTACCATTTGAAACCCTGAATCAGACGTCTGTAAAATATGGATAGTACCTAGTATATAGGAATATCATTAGGATTAAATGAAATAATGCTTGCTGTATCACTTGGTAAAAAATATAAAGTGCTACATAAAAATTGTGTTAAATAAAGTTTGTCTTGGTACTAATTTGAAAACTTTGCTTCATATACTTAATTCTTATATTTCTGAGATATTCTAGTATCTGTCGTATTTTAATGAAACCAACTACACAAAATGTTTGTTCTTTGTTCCCTGAGAATTTTGCAGTGACTCAAAGTTTATTCTCACTGTGTAGGTGTGGATGTTGAAAGTGCGACACTGAGAGATTGAGATAAACCTACATCAAGGCTAAGTCAATTAGTCAGGGGCTATTTATGCACCCTTCTATTTCTCACAGTCCCCAAACACAAATGTTTGACAAATACTTGTTGAAATGAAATACTGATGAAACTCTTGCTGCAAGTTTGCTTTCACCCGAGATTACAGGGACAAAAATTCTGGTAAACTGGGTTGAAGCTAATAAAGGTTTTGATACACTAATACTAAACACCAGATATCTCCTAAATCACAGCATGCCAAATGAAAGGTATGAAGGTAAACGGTTCTTTCCAATTTCAAAGTAAATTAAAATATAATTAAAGTTTAAATACTAAGAATAATTTTAATGAATTATATTTAAAAATACAGTGGAATCTATTTCTAACTAAATAAGTTATCAATATTTGTTCAGAATCTACTGAAAAAATAAATATTTATTAATGTATATGTTTCTAAAAATATTTAATGAGTTACATTTTTACAAATCTCTGATGTATGGTTTAATGGAACACAACTGAATTTCATTATCTACTACTTCTACATTTAATTTACTGAGGTAAGCTTACCTTAGAACCTAATTCTAGAAAACACAATACACAAGTGCAGATTTCATTAGCTCTAAGAATGATGACATCATCACGTCACAGAGCTAATTCCACTGTACACTCATGAAAGAATGAGAGTAAAAAATGCAAATAATTAGTACAATAATGAAAATATTTTAGATCTTGCAGACTCCCTGAAAGCGTCTTGGGAACCCCTCTGGGATCCCTGGACCACACTTTGAGAACCAGTGCCCTAATCCTGAATAATCACATTGCCATAAACACTGCTATTGAACTTTATGTGAGAGAAAAAAGAAACTTTTATTATGTTATTCGAGGAAGGAAAAGAGAGTGTGTCTGTGTGTGTATATTATGAAGGGGAATAAAGCAGATGGAATCCTCATCTTTCATAGCAGAAAATCAACAGATATTATCAAGTAGAAGAAAAACAACACAAAGACTTGAAAGTGGTGCCTCTGGGGAATAAAAATTGAGGGTTTTATTGTTACTGTTGTTGCTAAAACTACTTGCTGTGAGGCATCCTCTAACACAACTTCATAGAAAAATACTTCTTGTGTTTGTGGACTCTACAACCTCTTTGATAATTTCTGAGTTGAATAATGGAACTAAATGTACTGTGGTGATCATTTCACAGTTTTTTTGCAAATCAAATCCCTATTCTGCACACCTTAAACTTATACAGTGCTATATATCAATTAAATTTAAATAAAACTGGAAAAATATTCATTTACAAATTAAAAAATTAAAGTCAATTACTAGAATAATAATTTCCAAGGTATTATCTATACATTACTTTATTATAGTAGAATTTTGCTGCACTGAATCTAGCTAAATACTAGAATTTAGGTATCTTTTAATGATCTAGAAATGCAACTGAATATAAGTACTGACTAGTATGAGTATATAATTGACCAGGAGATGAGACTATGAATAAATAACCAGATAAGGTCAACCAAGGAAGACCTCACATGATACAAGTTTTGAACTAAGCTTTAAAGGAAGCAAGGGGGGAGGGTATAGCTCAATGGTAGCTTAATTCCCAGTACTTCCATGAAATAAATAAATAAATAAGCCTAATGATCCCTCCCCTCCCCCAAAATTAAAGGAAGTGAGGACAAGGACTGCTCAGTTAGAGCTGACCGGACAAAAGCACAAAGTCTGTAATGGATAAACCATTAGCAAGCAAACTACTTCTAAAGATAGATCAGATGTACAGGCTAAGCTGAGAGGAATAAAATCTCCCATGTTTTGAGTGGAAAATCAGACAGTAATGAGAAAAAAGTTTCCATTTTTGGAAAGATCTGGTATTGGGACAGTTGATTGATCATTTTCTGTAAGCAACTATAATGTCAGGACTACAGGTATGGTTCTGGAAATTTCAGATGAAGATAGCTGAAATCTCTGCAGATGAACCCCCAAATGAAGAAGTAAAAGCCAAGAAATAAAGGCTTATAGATGGAGCCTCAACTGACCCTTAAAAGCTGGTAAAAAGATCAGAAAATATATACCTGAAACTAATACAATACTGTAAATCAACTATACTTCAATTTTTAAAAAATCAGAAAATACAAACTAGAATAGCACCACAAAAGCGAAAAAGATTTTAAGCATTAGTCCATATTGTAAGAAAAGAACAGAATTTAATGTGGTATTCTTCCCTTTGTAAATGTTCCATAAGCATGGACTGACCAATAGCATAAAAACAAAGACACAACAGATTATACATCTTTTGTCTAGGGCTCTGAAAGAAGCAAAGTGACCTCTGAAAAACAGAAATACACTAATCTTCCCCAAGGTGAGCAGTTTAACGATAACTGCTGACAATGTATGTTAACTTGCAAAACAAAGTTATCTCATTTAAAGTGCAGCTCTAAATCTGGGGCTATTTTAACTATTTCCCAGGGCTAAAGGGAAGAAATTTCATTTACTCAGTGATTAAAATAAAAATCCTAGCAATCTGCCAATTTATCCAAGACAGTAAAATAAAATCCTGGAATCTAATATGCAAAGATGATGACCATGTCAAAAACAATTGTGTATTGAGAGATTAGGAAAAATATACACTATAAAAACAAAAGGAAACTAATGGAATAAATCGGTTTACAATGAAGACATTAATCTTGGCGCCTCTGTTATTTGCTGTAGAACAGCATGAAGAACAGATGTGGTTTTTTTCTTCATCAATTACTTCAAGACTTAAAAATGCCATGTTTATTCTTTTTATTATTTTCTAACTTAAGTGGTCAGTAATAAAAATTCTTCTTCACTTGTATTTATTTAGAAATCTTTTTTGATCTGTTGTGCCACTATGGCCCTTCTTAAGCATGCAAGACACATACACCATAAATTTGTGAAACCCCAAATTTTCCTGTTAAACCTAATCTTTAATGTCAATTCTTAGTTGATCATAAGATACACATTTTTCATCTTTTAAATTTTGACAGTGGAATACTCTTACAATATATAATATATTATAATATAATTGGCAGCATTTCTTTCTCAGATATTTGTCCTAGATGTCTTGAAGTGTAGTATGCTAGACTTCTTTAATTTTGTTTAAGATGCTGTAGAGACTTCAAGATATGTTATCAATTTAATAAAAGCTCCTCTGGAAAAGAAAGTACTGCCACAATAATATAGATACAATTTGATCAAGATGTATTCTCATTTCAAAAATGTTAAAATATGAACTATATCTGAGAATCAAGGAAATATTGTAATGGAACCAAAATTTTTATGTACTCATTTCATCCTCTATAGTTCTCAAATGAATTGAACAGCTAATGGTTTTCTCCAATTTAATTAGGACGCTATTATCAAAGGTTACACTGCTTATCAGACCCTAGAATTCAAAGGAACTTAGACACTAGAACATATCCTTTCTTTTTCAGTGAGAAAACTGAGGCCTTAAGAACTTAAATGATTTGACCAAGGTCATCCACCCATTCAGTGGCAAAAGTGAAATTAAGAATCCAGGTCTTCCAAACTGTCTTTTAAATTTAGTGATCTGACACTATACAGACTGGAATGATTATCCTAATTATCCTCAACTGATCAGGGTCACAAATAATACTCTATTGCTACAGAAACTGTTGACGATAGTCTAGAAAGCCGGACTTCTTGAGGCAATATAGGATTTTAAGGACATTAGTGGGGGTTCTTACAATACCGCTAAAGTTTAGAGATGGAGCTAAACCAAGATCTTCCTATAATCCTTTAAATCAGACAAATCTGCATCGTAGAACATTTGACAAGCCATCTGGACTGAATTCTTCAAAAAGTCATGAAAGAATGAAAAAAGTGAAAAAGTGGGAGGAATGTTCTAGATTAAAAAGACTAATGCTTTATTAGATTTAAGAATCTTAACTGCCTCTTCAACCCTTCCAAGCCATAAGAAACATTTTTGGGGACAACTGAAAAATATGAGTATAAAATGTAATATTAAATCCCTTGGAA